TGACTTTGCTGTCCGTGCTTTCCCATAAACCTGAAGGAGACCAGGGCAATAGTCCTGCCCTCCTCTTTTATTCCTGCTTGCAGTAAATAATTCAAGAGGCAGAGCCAGCAACATCAAATGAAGACTCTGAAGTCCTCAGCTTTTCCCTGAGGTGGGCCATGCATTTCCATTGTGGGGGAGCACACGCCAGCATCACCGGTTTGTCAGGAACGCCTCTGCCTCAGCAGTTTTGGGGAGGGACTTTTTATAAGGGCAGTTAATGACAGAACAAGGGAAAATGGCTTTAAACTGGCAGAGGGGAGATGGAGATGAGATGTGAAGAAGAAATTCTTTGCTGTGAGGGTGGTGAGACACTGGCCCAGGTTGGCCAGAGAAGCTGTGGCTGCTCCTCCCTGGAAGTGTTGAAGGCCAGGTTGGATGAGGCTTTGAGCAACCTGGTCTAGTGGAAGGTGTCCCTGCTGATGGCAGGGGGGTTGGAACTGGATGAGCTTTAAGGTCCCTTCCAACCCAAACCAGTCTGTGAGTCTCTGATTCTATCCCAGCCACGCTGATCTCTGCCGCCGCTGGGAGAGGAGCCTTGGCTGTCTCCAGCAGCGTGGCTTTGCTGGCTTTAGGCTGCAAAAGTGAGTTTACAATCTTGCCTGCGTTCAGATCAGGAGGATGTGGCGTATCTGCAGATTGGGAGGATTTATCCGTGTAAGTACATGTGCTAAAGCATATCCAGCCCAGATTTTTCCACACATTTGGAGGATTATTTTAGGAGAAACACAGGTGCATACACCCACTTCTTTGGGGGAAAAAAAACCTGGGCATGTTAATTGACATTTTAAATAATAAAAATAAAACTTGGAGAAGCAGTTGTTGAACTATAGATCAGTCTGAGCCTGGCAACTGCTTTTCTGGAATGCTATGGGGCATTCCAAAAAGCGCTGGCTTAGCTTTCATGCTCACCTTGAATCCAGGAACACGTCTGAAGTTATTTATCTTCTGGTGTCTGAAACTGGAACAGAGGTGTCAATAAAATTTTAGCCTTCCCGAAGGCTGCACCAGCACAGCAGTGAATGTTTTACTCCTGAATTTCCTGGGATAACCACACACGCGTGGGACGGGCAGCCAAGGGTTCGGCACAGCACGGCAACTTCCCGAGGGCAGCAAGGACATCTGCAGGGACTTCAGGTGGCTCTGCAGGTGACTGAGCGTGTGAACAGCAGATCTGGGCTATCTGCTGTTCTCCAATGGTCAGCAAGTCCATTGCAGGTGAGAGAAGGGAACTGTGCTTTGGGATTCACAGCATTTGACTTGTAACCAAGTGGGTTTCACTCACTGGTTGTGTTCAGATTGGTTGTTACAGGTCATCAGCGAGTGAGGGAATTGTGAAAAGAGTGTGACACTACTGTTGTTCATTCCCATTTGGGGAAAAAAAGATCTGTAAACTTATCTTGAAGGCTGCCAAATGCCATTCCAAGCGCTCTGAAAGGAGTTTGGTGTTTCCTTATCTGAAGGCTGCTGTGATCTTCCCAGATTCATCAATACAGGAAAAGCAAATTGCAGAGAACGCCCGGTGTGTTTCAGAAGCAGGGTGGCAGGAAGGGAGCGCTCAGCAAGGAGCTGCACATACCTCACATACGTAAGGCTGTGCCGTCTATCAGAAGATCCTATCCCCGTCAGATAGCAGCAGCAAGACATTCCTGGGGGTGGAGTGAGAGTGAATTTATCTCGGGAGTGAGCAGGATTTTGCTTTGCTAAGCTCGCTGGTTTGCTCAATTCAGGAATTTTCCATTCACGTCTATGATCTCCTGAGGTCCCTTCCAACCCTGACCATTCTGTGATTCTGTGATCCACCAGCATATAAACCCCAACAACTGTAATTAGGGCTACTTACTTTAATTAGTTAACAGTTTTCTGCAGCTCACCTGTCCTTCTGCTGGCTCTCTTCTGTCGTCCTGACTGCTTGGTTGAACCACTTCTCCCAAAATTCCTGCTTTGGAGGTAGGTGGTGGAGGGGACTGCGTTCCTCTGCCTCGAGGAGGGCTGCTGCCAGGTAGACGTGGTGTTCTACAGGGGAAGCGCTGTTTGCTTTAAAGAAATATGAAGCTGCACTGTGTGGTTTTTATTGTCTTTTGATAGATTATTCATCACTTCAGCACTCGGCAAGCCTAGCTGAGGGGAAAGCTCTGTATTGAAGTTCTGGGAGGAGTGTGTAGTGTGGCCTGAGGAGGTGGTCAGGGGCATCTCAGCTTGCCTTTTCCTCTCCAGTTCCTCTGGTGTGAGCGTGCCACGACTGTGGCTCAGTGGGTAGATTTGCTTCAGTCAGTTTAATTCAAAAGATTGCATTTAACTGGCTTGGTACTTATAATTTCATGCAGTGATGTGGAGTATAGCACAGCCTGTTAACGGATGTCAAATGCAGGTTTGTAGGGATTTGTGGGCAGCTCAGCTCCATTAGCTTGAAATAACAGCTGAAAAACATCCTTTTTAAAGTAAAGATATGCACTAGCCAATATCAAAAATCAGTTGTTCTTGTAATTGCTAGTTAGAACATGCCAAAATTACAAGCCCTCTGTTGAGAATAGATACAGGAGAAATTATTTGGCTAATAATACAATAGTGACATATAGACTTAGTTCTGTTAAATCATCGTAACCCTTCTGTTTAAGATGAAAAACAACAAAAAATAAAAGGAATATAGGTTCTGGTCCATAATTCCTTATAAATAGAAATGCCTGTTGGCTAAATCAGGGGAGGGATTGGAGTAGCTGCAGCTGCGGAGTACATCTGATAATTTGCATTCTCCACCTCCTGCCCTTATTGCAGAATTAAATTGGGTTCTCATTAACATGGGAATGTTTGTTGTTCCACCGCCTGCTCTCTCTCCCCTGCACCTACATGACTGTTGCGATGTAATGCCAGTCCCTGTTGGGAGCCTCCGGAGCGGAGCGGGTGCCAGCGGGGCGGGAGGAGTTGTGGGAAGGGACTTGATTTACCTCTGACAACAGGTGCCTTTGTCAGCACACCTCACCTCGGAGGAGCTGAGGAGGAACCACTCTCAACCTGCCGCTTCCAACTTTTGCTACCAGAAAAAAAATTCCCCACCCCAGAAGGCAGTGAAAGCGAAGAGGAAGCGGTCATTCAAAGCGCTTGGGAAAACCTCAGCAGGATTTAGCGTAGCAGGTAGGACTTTTGTCTAGGTGACACGGAGAGGTGATCTCCTGATCAGGATCAGAATCTGTGGGAATTAATTGGAAAAAAATCTGCAAGAAGAAAAATTTTAAAAATGCACTATAGGTGCATTTCAAGGAAAAAATACCTTTCCTCCTCCTGCAAGGGTTAAAGCACGATCAGAATCTGCTTTAGTCTCAAGGATTTAACCTCAAGTGCTGCATTTTTTTGTTTGCTATAAGCCTATTAGAACTCTGTTTCCTAGCAATAACATGTAATTTCCCCCCCCCCTATATAAGTGAAAGAGATGTTGGGTTTTTAATCCTGTACACTACAGCCCTTGCTCGAGTTTCCTATTCAAATGCAAATAGCACCTGGTGCTATTTAGATAGGCGTGTAATCTTTGATAAAGATACTTCAGGAACAGGGAAAAGAGAAAAGCAAGGTGGGTCTGACCCTGTTTATTCTGGGAAGTGAGAGCGTGACCATATGCTACTGGCAACCTGAACTGGAAACTCCTACCAGATTTGCTGCATCCAGCACATCCTGTCTTTGGAGACAAATGCGGAGCTGAAATGAGTTCAGTTTCTTGAGCAGGTATGAAAAGGCTTCCAGAGAAGAAAAAAGTGTAGTGGATGAATCTAAGCAGAAGTGCTAATTTGGAGTTTTGACTTGCCTGAGTCTCCTGAAAGGAGTTTCTTTTTGGGATATTTTGTTTCTTTCTTCAAATCACTTATTATTTTTCTAGATTTTCATTTGTAGTTTTGAGAATATTGATTTTTAAGGATTTTTTCCAAATTTTTTCCTTGCGCTGTTTTTCCTCTGTGTCAGATAGAAGTTATGATAAATGAATGGAAAGTCAGGAGCAATTTGGAAGGTAGCTACACTGCTTAGGACTCAAAGACAAGAGCTACCATATCACTTTTTGATTAAAAGCAAACCAGACCCAGAATCAGGTTAAAAACCTTCTCCTGTGGAACATTTTGATTGCATAAATTGGTTTTATTTCACTTGTGGAGGTGTGAGTTTATTCAAGAAAGAGCTTACAGCCTTCATTGCGTTTTGCATGTCTGTTTTACCCTGCCTTACAAATGGCAACTGAAGGACTCTTTTTGGAGGGTTGTGACTTGATGACATCATCTTCCTGCTAAAAATCAAAGTATCTACGTGGCACAAAATGCAATTCAGATCTGTGTAAAAGCGGATGTTTATCAAGAGTTTAAAAGAGAGATTTAGAAATTTGTGGAAAATTCCAAGGAATATCTGAAAGAAATCATTATTACAGCGGTCTCTGTGAATTTACAGATAAGCCAAAAGAAGCAATTCACTGGAAAGCGAGACTCTGCTAACAAGGATATCAGTTGTCCATGGGAGAAAACTGGAGATAAAGAATAAACAATCTCTACAAAGTTGGAGAAGAACAGAAATGATTCCAGTCCTGCTGTCACGCACTGGCGGATCTTTCCTTGCTTAACAGTAATCTGGTTTGGCTACTGCTTTTTCATCTTCAGCCTCACACTGGAATTACAGCTACTTCTACAACTGTAGAACTTGTACAACTACAACTTCTCCAGCTTTCACCAAACTTCAGCAAATGCCTTTTGCAGGTCGGGTGTTGGGAGCGTGAGCAGGTGTTTTGTGTGTGCTTCCCGTGACGATAAAAGGCACCCTCGAGAGGAAAACCCACACGGGAGGTGATTTGCTGGGTCATATTTTCTCTCGTGACACTCCTTCCTCATTAGCTTCTTCAGGTGGGTGTGAACAACTGACACGGAACTGAGCCAAGGTTCAGCCTTGGATTGGCAAACCGCTCCGGCCACTAACGGCAGCTTGCCAGCAAAATGATGGAAGAAGTCTCCATAATGGTGGCTTACGATGCCCATGTTTTTAGCCAGCTCTACGATGAAGACTTTCTGGCCAATCTGGTGGCAGTCAGCAAACCCAAATCTGTGGTAGGTGTTACTATTGCTCCTTTGCCAATCACGCTTAGGTTCTATTCTTTCCAGTAGTTAAGTCCTTCTGAAAGCTATCTATTATTTATTTTCTCCTTTTATTACTTTTTTCCAGAAATTTGTTTTTATGGATCAACAAAATTAAAATAACATTTTATTTCAGAAGAGATAAGATTATTAAAATGCTGTCTTTCCGTGCTACTAAGTTTAGAAGAAGGTGATTTGCTCAGTAGGGTAATAGTTAAAATGATATTTATTAAATAATATTGAAATAACTGAAATAATAGTTAAACTGGAAAATGACATTAAATGATATAAACAGTTTCTGTGGGTTAGTGTGTCAGTTAAAGATTCAGGCCAGATGCTCAGTGTACGCCCAGGGTCTGGGGTGTGGGTCACTGTCATCCCTGCATCTAGGAGAATCTATCCCTTGTGTGGAAACGGTGATTTAACAGCTTTACACGCTCTTTTGAAATCAGCTAAGTATCTGTAAAACCTTTTTAGTTAAACTACCACTTCCTTTTCGTATAAATAGTGTGTATATTTATGTAAATGGCGTGTATAGTGTCTGCATCGTCCTCCCTCATGGAGATCCCAGCTCTTGGAGGGAGCTGCACTGAGGGCACTCGTTTTGACTCTGAAGTTTGGTGCCAAAATTCATCTTTGGTCTCAAATTCTACAAACGGGCCCATGTTGAGTCAATCTGCCTAGAATCCGTCTTTGAAAATCAAAATGCATGTGTGGGTATTGAGCTTAACTTCAAAAGCAAATACAGTTAGAATTTCAGTCTCAATGCAAATCAAGCTAGTAATTTAGCAATCCAATTAAGCATTTGTGTTTGCAGGTTTTGGTCTGTGTGTGTGTTTGTATCCAGGCAGCTCACTAAGCTGTGACAAAAGGAGGTGTTCTCAGAAGAGGAAAAATTTGCTTTATTGCTGTCTTGTGTAAAACCTCTCTAAGCCTGTTTCCCGCTTGGGTTTTTCTCCCTGTCCATGCTCAGGAAACCTCAGGTGCACGAACTCGTCTCCTGCATCTCCCATAGACCTCTGGATCTAAACTAGAGTTCTACCTGGTCCCTTTTGTTCTGATGCCTTTTTCTATCTCTGGCCTCCTCTAGGCTAGAATGCACAAGGTCCGTTAGAATAATTAGATAATAAATCTGGTACAGACAAAACTGTCTCCTTTAACATGACCTGGCTGGAGGCTGGGCTCCAAGTAGGGTTTAACTTAACCAGTGTATTAGGAGTTGCCTACCTTTCCCATACTGGATATTTTTAACTATGTGATACGCCTTAGTTCCTTGTCCAGCCATAACCTTTCCTCTTTTCCTGCCTCAGCCGATTGCTCTGGCAGCATTTATTGTTTTGCCTGGAAGCCCAGAGCAAACACGTTCCTTCAGACAGGTACCCGTGTTGCGATAGGTTCAACGGGAGAAGGTCCCTGCTGGCAGGCTCTGGGAGAGACCCTTCTGGCGAGTTTCTCTGAGCAAAATGATGGTGACAGTGGTGTTTCCTGGTTGCCTCCTGTCCTGAAGTGTTGCGTGCTCTAGAGCCAGTACTGCAGTTGCTTAAATGAAAATCCTAGTGGTAAGAAAACATTTCATGGATGGCTCACCCTATAATTTACATCTTTGAAAAGTGCTGCTTGACCGGGCTCAGTGGTAGACTCTTCAGCTTTGTATGGCTTCGGGGCAGAAGTAACAAACACTGTGTTATGTGTCTCTAGATTCCTCCGGATTGGCTGTGAGTGACTGGAGGGAGAGTAGCTGGTGTCGAGAGCACCACGTTACAGCTCCAGCTGATTTCTGCCGCTCTGAAAATGTGATTAGCTAATTATTATTTTTTTTTAATAATTGTCTATGAAGTAACTACCTATCTTAGTTAACAAAGATGCTGACATGAAACAACTGCGGGAGTGGAAAGTATCATTATTTCTATTTCTTATAAGATCTGAATGATTAGTGTAAGTACACTACACTTCCTCTCACTCCAAGAAGGACATGGAGGTGCTGGAGCCTGTCCAGAGAAGGGCAACGGAGCTGGGGAAGGGTCTGGAGCACAAGTGTGCTGAGTTCCCTTGTGGCTGAGGGAACTGGGGGGGTTGAGCGTGGAGAAAAGGAGGCTGAGGGGAGACCTTCTGGTTCTGTCCAAGTCCCTTGGAGGAGGGTGGAGAGAGGTGGGGGTGGGTCTGTTCAACCAAGGACCAAGGGACAGGACAAGAGGAAATGGGCTCCAGTTGTGGCCAGGGCAGTTGAGATGGGATGTGAGGAAGAATTTCTTTGCTGGAAGGGATCTGAGGCATTGGAAGGGGTTGCCCAGGGCAGTGGTGGAGTCCCCATCCCTGGAGGGATTTAAAAGACGCATAGATGTGGTGCTTAAGGGTGGGCTTAGGTAGGCACAGTGGTGTTGGGTTGACAGTTGGACTTGATGATCTTAAGGTTTTTTCCCAACCTTAATGACTCTATGTGTTCTTATCAATTCTTTCCCTGAATAAGAGTATTCCTGTGTTTCAGTGCACTATGTGGTAGTAAATAAGTTAAGAAATGTGAGTTTTGCAAGATTTACATAGGAAGTACTTCACCACTCTTCTAAATGGTTTTTAAGTGTATTAACTAAGCAAATAATGGTGCAAACCACCTGAGGAGGTTTGAGATGAAGCTGGACAGCATTATGATAGGATTAGAGGGTGTGTGGGAGCCTGCACTACTGAGGGACGGGACCTGATGACTCAGAAAGTTTCTTTCAGTTCTCTGCTGCTGCGTTGAATCATGGGACAAGCTGCCAACTGGGATAAGTTGCAGCAAATCCTATTGACTCTGTCCTGGTCATTTTACCAGATTGCACGAGGTACATCCTGTACATAAAGTAACGTTCTGCAGGAAGAATTTGCAGACTTTTCATCTACTCTGAGAATTCATGTTAGTAGCACAGGTATTTTTGCAACCTGGGATTCATCAGTTTGTTTCCAAAATCCAGGTTTCATTTATTTTTAAAGGAGGTTAAAGCATGCTGCAGAGAAAAGGGGTTTTAAAAATGTTGTTTGAAAGGCTTTCATCCGGTTCCGCAGCTTGGATGGCAGGGTGGCTTTGTTCTAGTTCCAGAAATCTTGCGACTAGTAATTCATTCTAGTTCGTTTGGGTTGTGCAGTAGGTCAGGGCACACAGGAGTCTCTCTTGCAGAGAGGACAGAGCCACTGGTTATGACATGAAGTGGCCAAACCAGGGCCAGCTGGTCGCTGTGGCGGGGTAAGGCCAGCCCTGCCTAACCCTCTGTGTCCAGTGCCACACAGGTAATGAACTTTGTGAGGAAAATCTGAATTATCTGCTCTTGTCCAGGTCCTGTCAATTCTAATCGTATTTTTCAATGGAAAATGTGATTATTTTTTTCCAGTGGAAAGCATAGCGGTGTTTTTTGTAGCTTTTCTTTGATGCACGTAAATACCAGACAATTAAACAGGATGTAGATGATCTGAGATAAGGTTTTGTGAAATATTCTCCAAAGCGACACTGTACCATAGCGATCCTCCAACATATATTTTAACAAAATTAGTCATCTTGCAGTGTGACCATGACACACAGTTGTTTTGCTGTGTGGTCTTGCTTTCAGGATTTCAAGTTATTCTGAAACTAGACACGCAAAACAGCGTATAAAAGTGGACTGCTGTCTAGTTTGTGCAAGAATTGAGTAGCTTTACTCAAAGGAATTTCAATTATCAACTTATCTACAGAAAACTTGGACAACAGGGGTTATAAAAACGATAGACTAAGTGATATAATCCTCTTAACCCAGAGTTGAAGGACATTCTTCTGGAAAGCCCCATTGTATTTTTCATTTGCCTGCCTGCCCTGCTATGTTTAGTTCTCTGTTCAGGGGAATTATCAGCCACTGTGTAGGAGTAATTTGTGGTTACACGCCAGCAGACTCTGCCATCTTGATTTCTAGGCTCTCAATTTCTTACCAAAGCCAAACTGAGGAGGTTCAGATCAGATGGGTGAACTGCAAGGTGGGTGAAAAACTGAGTGGCCTGGCTAGGACACAGGACAGAGTGGTCAGTGGGTTGAAATCTAACTGGCATCTGGCTAAATGTTGGGTTTTGGGGTTGTTAGTGGGCTTAATACTGTTTAGGTCAGGCCTAGGCACCAGAAGAGGATGCACCCTGTTTTTCAGATGGCAGAAACTTGATTTTCAGGTGGCAAAAACTGGAGGGTAAGCGATGGACACATGGAGAGGCAGGTCTGCCGAGAGGAACCTCAGCAGAGGTGAGCTGAGAGGAACCTCCTGAGGTTCAGAAAATGCAAAACTCTGGGTTCCTCCCTGAGTAGGGATAACTCCATCATATGTGCAGGCTGGGGACCAAATGTCTGGAGAGCATCACTGCCAAAAGGGTGTTGGGAGTCGGGGTGGATGACAAGATGAGTGAGCAGCATGCCTGCAGTGAGGAAGGCTGGCTGTGCACGAGGTGGTGTTACCAAGAGCACAGCCAGCATGTCGGGTGAAATGGTTGTTCCCTTCCACATATCTCACATGCTGAATCCAGTCTTGAGCCCCCATGGAGAACAGGGATGAAAAGGGATGTTCACAGCCTAGAGCAAGCCCAGCTGAGGTCCACCGGGAAGGCAGGGGACCAACTGCACAGGGGAAGGATGAGAGGGTTGGGGCAGCGTAGTCTGAAGAAGAGAAAGCTCAGGGGGGATCTAATTGCAGTCTCCTGACACCTAAAAGAAGGTCCTCGAGAGGATGGAGCCAAACCCTGATTCTCAGAGGCACACAGTGACAAGAGAAGAAGGAACGGTCATGGTTTCAGCAAAGCAGATTCTGGCCCAGCATAAGGAAAGCAGTTCTGCCTGGGGCAGCCCTGGCATCTCCATCCTTGCAGACTTTCATGAGCAGCATGCTCTGGCTTGGAAGCTCTCCCTGCCTGAGCAGGACGTTGGTCTAGATGCCCACTGGAGAGCTCTTCCAATCTATTTTTTTTTTCCATGAGTCTCTAATTCTGCCTTG